CCTTCCATCCTTCCCGGGGCTACGCCTCTGTTGACTGTTTTCAATATTTAGTTCTACCGAGTGATTTGCCCAAAATTCTGATATTTTTTATGTAGGTTTACCTCACACAAGATGTCAAGCTTTGTCTTCATATTTGGTATTGTGTGTCTGAACACGGTGGGCAAAAAAGACAGCAAATTGGCCACGTACATATAACTCTCTGAGTTAGTTTGGAATATCACGAAACTCCCTCACAGGATAGAACTTAACATTCCTAAAAATCGTATGTTTTTTGTTTTTCGAATTTGTTACTTTTTGGCGGGAAAATGACGTGCCGACTTTGGCGCCAAAAAATTAAACACGAGCCAGGGATGCCGGAAGTTGCTGAGGACAAGGGGTGCAATTGGTTAACAAGAAGCATACTCCTTAACAAAAGGACACCAATGAAAATGAAAGGGCGTCATGATCCTACATTCGTGTCGACCTCCCTCCCTGTCACCAATTTTTTTCGGACCGAATACCATTATTTAGGACCCATTCCTCCTTAATTTCTCGCCAAAAATTCATAAGTAATGCTTAATCCGTTTCACCTTTCGCCAAATGGCTAACAACTTTGCCGAATTCCTGACGACTGGGGGGGGGGGGTAGAATACTCCCACACACATCCTCGAAAAGAGGGTTAATTCTGTTTGTTGTAAACGTTTTGTGCACCCATTACACCCATAGTCTGCACACGCACTGCACCCACAAAGTCGAAAATGCAAAAGGCAAGGGGTGCAGTTGCACCCGCTGCACCCGTGGTTCCGGCATCCCTGACACGAGCTAAGAACATGCTAGTAACTTTTTTGAAGAGATTCTCCTATAAGAATCTCAAAACTGTAAAAACATTAAAAATACAACAAGGCAGTGCGAAGATATGGCGATTCAAAGTTCGAAAAAATCTATTTTTAGTAATAAAATGGCTGATTTTTCAGTAAAAATAGATATATTTTTTTATAATAATAAATTTTCGTGAAGGAAGTTCAAATTTCGTCCTTTTAATCTCTTACACGTGTGAAGCAACTAGTGCAGTAGTGGGTCTCAAAGACTTGGCTAAAACATTGTGATCCCCTATCGGATAAGTTTGATACCTACAAACGCCGAAAATATTTTTTTCTTTTCATTTAGTTATATTTGAAATTGAGGCCATGGCCACGGGATATTTTTAACAAAATACAGTTCAAAGTCAAGCTATTTTTACATATTTTCAAATTCAAACTTTGTCAAATTTCGCAAGCTTGTATTTTGAACTTAGACCGCTAAGTTACAATAAGAAACATAGGATGGAAAACTTGAGGCATATAAAATAAATTTAAACTTACATTTCATTCTCATATCACGTTTTTCTTTGTTTATTACGGTTTTAAACAAACCATACCTCGACGTATACGGTATTTGCTCCCAAGGCATGTTCACGTCGCCATGTTCACTTCTTCCAATCATTCGATTACAAAATCGTCCCAAAACAAGGAATTCATGATCGATTTTTATAAGAATAACCGTTAATTTGTGAATCGTTCGAATGAAAGCAAAAAATCATCATCTAAAACAGCTTCTTGCTAACTTTCTGCTCTTAGTCTAGGACCTGTGTATGAGTTTGTATGCGTTTCATTTACCACAGGTAATCTCAACTGTTTTAATAAAATGACCATGGCGGTCAACATGGCATATGTGCCAAAACCTGAATTCTGGACGAAAGTCCTGAAAATGACCCGCCCTGAAACGGCAGTGCCGACATAGCTCTAACTTCCGAAAAGCAAAAGCGACAGCCTTTCTGAAGTGCTTATAGTGTTTAGAAGGGTTGCTTTTAGGGGTGGTTATTGGAAGGAAAAATTTGTGTAAGTATAATATTTTACAAGAAAATGACCATTATCACCCCCAGGTAAATTGCTGATTATGCAGAAAATAACTAATATACATGGCAGAAATTAAATATCCTTATTTCCTAAAAAAAATTACATTAACATGGGATGAAAAACTATGCTTAATTTAATATAATTATTGTAGTTTTCATAAGGATAGTCACTGTTTTCTATAAATATAATATATTTTATTTCACTTACCCCCCACGAAAACACGATTTCAGCCATATTTTGCCGTCTTGTTTGCTTTATGTCGCCGTGTCTCGCAAATAACATCCAGTTGTTGTACTTTTACATAATGGGAAATGGCTAAAGGAGATTTCAACCAAGTTTCGGCAAGTTTTGGAGCAGTGCAGTGTATTTTATCTTCGATATTGTGTCCTTCGATATTTCGTCCATATGCCGCTATTTAGTTAATGGCTCGCCCGATTCTCTGCCCGATAAATGCCACTTCTTCGTCTTCATATGTATTTAGATTACAGTATCCAAGAGTACTTCATTGTAGAATAGTCCTAAAAGAAAAATTGAAAAAATTACTTACACTTTGAAGGAAAAAACCTCCCACAACAAATTCAGATAGGAATAAAAACAAATAATTTGAAAGTCACGCGCAATCTTCGCGAAAATTCCTTGACAGGGGGGGGGGAATATTTTCACGAGACGTTGTTCGCCACCACAGCAATTCAAGTTTCAACTAAATATATTGTATTTATTGTATTTTATGATTTAAAAATAAAAATTAAAAACATTAAATATTTACGTATTTTTATTATCAATCATAAAAATGCAATAAATATAATATATCTAGATAGGAACAACGTTTCGTGAAAATATTCGCCCCCCCTGTCAAGTAGCCACGAGGAATTTTCGCGAAGATTGCGCGTGACTTTCAAATGATTTGTTTTTATTCCTATCCTGAATTTGTTGTGGAGGTTTTTTCCTTCAAAGTGCAAGTATTTTTTTCAATTTTTCTTTTAGGACTATTCTACAATGAAGTACTCTTGGATACTGTAATCTAAATACATATGAAGACGAAGAAGTGGCATTTATCGGGCAGAGAATCGGCGAGCCGTTAAAATGGCGGCATATGGACAAAATATCGAAGGACACAATATCGAAGATAAAATACACTGCACTGCTCCAAAACTTGCCGAAACTTGGTTGAAATCTCCTTTAGCCATTTGTTATTATGTAAAAGTACAACAACTGGATGTTATTTGCGAGACACGGCGATATAAAGCAAACACGACGGCAAAATATGGCTGAAATCGTGTTTTCGTGGGGGGTAAGTGAAATAAAATATATTATATTTATAGAAAACAGTGACTATCCTTATGAAAACTACAATAATTATATTAAATTAAGCATAGTTTTTCATCCCATGGTAATTTTTTTTAGGAAATAAGGATATTTAATTTCTGCCATGTATATTAGTTGTTTTCTGCATAATCAGCAATTTACCTGGGGTGATAAATGGTCATTTTCTTGTAAAATATTATACTTCCACAAATTTTTCCTTCCAATAACCACCCCTAAAAGCAACCCTTCTAAACACTATAAGCACTTCAGAAAGGCTGTCGCTTTTGCTTTTCGGAAGTTAGAGCTATGTCGGCACTGCCGTTTCAGGGCGGGGTCATTTTCAGGACTTTCGTCCAGGATTCAGGTTTTGGCACATATGCCATGTTGACCGCCATGGTCATTTTACCCTAAAACAGTTGAGATTACCTGTGGTAAATGAAACGCATACAAACTCATATACAGGTCCTAGACTACACAGAGAACACCTACCTTATTGCTTTTCTCTGGCAAATAAATAATTTAAACTTTTATTTCTCATTCTTTAGCGATTTTACTGGCAAATAAACTGAAAATCACTCTGACAAGCCATTTTTAAAACCACGTGACTGTGTTTGTTTTGCAGCACATTTAATAACATTGCTCTAAATCTTAACCCGGCCATGAGCATCGAAGACTGGGGAGCAAAAACGGCATACTCTGAGTGATGATATTTACTTTCAAAATGGCGCGTGTTTATTTTTGTTCGACGAAGAACTGAAAATACAAATGCAATTTGTGAAAAAAACTGTAGGTCTATGGAGCGGCAACTTTTCGGATTTAAATTCAGCGTGTTCGAAAATGTTAGTTACCGTGAAAATATTTCACTTCCACGACATGCTTAATGAAAATTGTTTTCTGGGCATGTTTTTAGGTCACAAAAACGGCCTATAAGTGTTGCGGTACTTTTCAAGCGAGAAGTTGGATCATATGTCACTTGCAAGGAAGGGACTATAACCATTATACACGCGCCTGGCTTGCGAAGTTGAGCACGCGTCGCCGTAGAAACGTATATGTCTTCTACATGTTTATAGCTGGAGTGTATCCTGTCCGATATTCAAAACAAAACATTTATTATGTAACGGGATCCTTTGATTTCCCAAACATCGCCAACTGTGTGTAAACAATGCTATCTTCGCTGTGAAAGCACTGGATTAAAACCCGTTATGGACTGTAACATTCTCTGCATTTACATTGTTCGAACTCAACGATGAAGAATCATTATGTGGAAGTATAATACTAAAAGCTATCTGTTATCGTACGAATGCCAAAGATACTCTTCCGTGCGTGTGGTACAACTTGGATATTTAGAACAAACATGCGACCAGACACTGGTATTGTACTTTTATATAGTAAATTATTTCATATTTCATGTATTAGAGTAATTTACAGCAGGTACATTAAAAATCGTTCAAAGATCCATCCCATTGGGGGTACTTCCTCGGGTAGAAGAGTTTGCATCACAGATTACGTCATCAGTTAGTTATAGTAGTGATTAGTGTTGGAGTTAGGGTTAGGGTTAGGGTAAGGGTTAGGGTAAGGGTTAGATTAAGGATTAGGCTTAGAGATAGGGATTGGGTTATATCACAGTTAATAGAAATAGGATGGTTTGGAAAGCCGGCGAACTTCAAAGAGCGGCGGCAAATATGTTGCGCCACAAAGGAAGTGAAAGTCACGTGTCAAATAGTGTGCATGCTCTCGAGCGAAGTGCTTAAGATTATTAATGCGTTCAACAAAAATCTTATAAAAAAGTGTTTTTAAAAGGTCGATACAGCTGAAATTGAAATGGAGGAAACTTCTGAGAGAGTTTTAGAAGAAATAACGTCGAGTGTAAAGCCGTCTGGCCCATCGTCAAGCAGCGAGGAACTGGCAATGTTATTCGATGAAGATGCTTTGCACATGAATATTGCGATTGATTTGTTGAAAATGATGACCTATCGGTGGAAAATTAATTTATAAACGCGTTGAACGAGATTGATGGTCTTATGGTTTATCCTTGCCATATGTATAACATGATTTGTAAATCGAAAGGCGGTTTGACAAGCACAAAAAATCAAAACATATCGACGATGTTTCTGGCACCTCTGAGGGTTGCTATACAACACCACTCGATAAAAACACAATGAACTCGGTCGTTAACACAATAAAGCAAAACATTATAGACGAAGAATTGTATGGAGACGAAATAGAATCCTCTATTAAAAATGTTACTGCGACAGAAGCACTCTTCAACGAGGTTGAACCTTTATACTCGAAATTTTGTAAAAACAAAAATCAAGACAAACTGCTAAAAATCTTTCTATGGTTTAATGCTAAAGTCAACGACTCTTCTTGATTTGGCAGACTCTCGTATTACCAACCTTGTAATGATACATATTCTAGACCATTTAATATTCTATAATATAAGTGATCATTCTATAATATAAGTGGAAGAGGTGATGCTTCAGTCACCACTCACCACCACTGAGAAACACAACAAAAGAATGTGAAAAGATTGAAGCATGTGAAATGGGACCTCTTTCCTATATTGCTGGATATGTTGTTAGGCAATTAACGAGTGCAAGAAAGAAAAAGAGTGAGTCAGAGAACACTGAACTCCAAGGATTACTTGGGAGCCTGCAGTCGGAGCAAGAAAATAAAAGCTTCATACAAGCTAGAAACAGAGGTGGTCTTGTCAACCCATCAGATGACCCCATAGGAATTTTGCAAGAGGCAAAAATGAACTTTTGTAGAGAGGTTAACAAATCAAAGGAAGTCCTCAGAAATATCCCAGTGGATGTGATTTGTTATAAAACTATTAGCATTCCCATTGTGAAATCATTGTGGGATAATCTAATATACAAATAATGAATGTTTATGAGTGCAATGGTAAAAATATTTTCATTCGGTGAAAGATGGAATGTTCCATTCAACGAGGCTCCGAGTTAAATGGAACATTGCATCTTTCACCGAATGAAAATATTTTTACCATTGCACTCATAAACATTCATTATTTGTTTTAAATAATACCAAGATAGACTAATAGATTCATATGAGAAGCATTTTGACGGATTCGATTTATTCTATAACACAAAAAGTGCAATGGAATAAAACGTATACCGTAAACCTCCAAATATAAGCCCCCCCCCCGAATATAAGCCCCCCATGTATTAGCCCACCACATGTATTAACGCTCACCTCATTCCAACTATAAGCTCTCCCCCTGAATATAAGCCCACTTGTTTATCACTATTGTTTATCACTATTACCCATAGATATCTCATATCTATGCTATTACCACTATTAATCGCTACTATTACAATAGTATGCTTGTTTAGCACTTGTTTATCACTATTACTATACTTGTTTATCACTATTACACTAACACAAAAGATCGTCCATGTATAAGACACCCCCCCCCCGTATATAAGCCCATCAAAAAATCGCTTACGAAAGAATATAAGCCCAGGGTTTATAGTTGGAGGTTTACGGTAGTACAATTGCACTTGCAAAGAGTGCAATGGAACATATTCCATTGCACTCTTGGGAAATGGAATTTTCTATTCAATATCATGTCACCATAAACAGCCAATTAAACGATCAGAATTCAATAAGGTATTATATTAGGGGGAGAGTGCTGCCACTCAATAGGTTAAACCAAACTCGTAAATTATGTCAAATTTTAATCTGATTTTTGTAAATATATGTTTGAAAACTACAAGCGTAAGCAATCTCATTGGGTCATTAATCCAGAAAGATCGCCCAAGGAAATTCATGAAAGGTGGTTGGGAAAAAGTGTCATAAATTTTCCACTGCTAAGCATGAAAGGAAACAGAAAAATGTGTTCACACACATTTATAGAAGTAATGTATTATGCAGGTCAGGACATTTTTGTTGTTGTTCACAGTAGATTGGCATATAATATTTTATTTGTTGTTAGCAAGCCATCGTGTGATAACTTATATGTTTAGCCTATGGCTGATATGAGGATATCCAGTGGGAGGGGGGTGTATTTGGGTGGCACTTGCATCTAAACACTTTTAGAGTTTCAGTAAGGTAGTCCTCAAACAGTAACAAGGGGAGCTTTCAATGTAGGGGTGGGGGAGTTGGAGAGACATGTGAAGAGCAAAGTGGGGGTTAAAAGGCTTGTAGAGCTGGGAGTTGAAAAGCTATGCAGGGCCTGGGGATTAAATAGCTAAAGTGCATGGAGTGTACAATTCTACAAAACATCAGACTAGCTTGGACAATTCCTTTATATTCATATACATATTTTATACTTATAGCAAAGTTACTTCATGTGACATCGGAATGGTCTAAAGTGATCACCAAGAGATTAGTAAAATATATTTGAATATACCAAAGTTCCCAATAACACTTCAGAAATTTCAAGTATATGTACAAAGATATTAAAATGAAAGTTAAATGCAATAAAAATTATCAACTATGATCATGCTTCCCCACCAAAATTCAGTTCCTATGTACAGTATCTACCTTATGGAATATATATTGTTATTGGATGTTCGTTTCTTCAGTTCTGATGTAATCGCTCTGGTTCTGAAAATAATTTCAAGCCATTTCTCCCGAGTTTCCTTTTTTATTGACGACTTATATTCACTTTCGTGCGCGCTCATGACTGGTATTCTAAACAATGAAATTTGGTGCTTTTGGCTTGTTGAACAACCAAAAAAGCACAATTACGGCCAGGCATAGCTTTAATACTTCATAGCTAGCTAACGAAATTCCCAACAGATGGCCAACATATATTATATTGATATTATTTCAATGTAAATTAGGTGGTTCGTGATATGTATTATTACGCCATTTTTAATATGATGCACACTATTTGACACGTGACCCTTCCAAGCATGGATCAAAGACATATTCCGAAACTCCGCCCACTTTCCAAACCATCCCCTTCTATTAACTGTGTACCAACTGAGCTACACGGTCAGACGGATTTAAGACTGGAAATTATGAAATATATACTGAATGTCGTAAACATACTCGTTTATATTAATTCAGCATCGAACAATACTAGTTCTGCAAGTGTTATGTTGAGTTGTGTAATTGTACACTCCGTAATATGTTAAGGTGAAAATGTTCTCGAGTGTGTATGATATAATTTCCATACCCAGCGTAAGCAGAAAGATAAAGTCTGCCGCGGCTGGGTCTTGAACCCGCGACCTTCGAATTACTAGATCGACGCTCTACCAACTGAGCTACACGGTCAGACGGATTTAAGACTGGAAATTATGAAATATATACTGAATGTCGTAAACATACTCGTTTATATTAATTCAGCATCGAACAATACTAGTTCTGCAAGTGTTATGTTGAGTTGTGTAATTGTACACTCCGTAATATGTTAAGGTGAAAATGTTCTCGAGTGTGTATTATATAATTTCCATACCCAGCGCAAGCAGAAAGATGTTGTCTGCCGCGGTTGGGTCTTGAACCCGCGACCTTCGAATTACTAGATCGACGCTCTACCAACTGAGCTACACGGTCAGACGGATTTAAGACTGGAAATTATGAAATATATACTGAATGTCATAAACATACTCGTTTATATTAATTCAGCATCGAACAATACTAGTTCTGCAAGTGTTATGTTAAACTAAATACTAGTTCTGCAAGTGCTATGGTCTTAAATCCGTCTGACCGTGTAGCTCAGTTGGTAGAGCGTCGATCTAGTAATTCGAAGGTCGCGGGTTCAAGA